AGATTACAGTAGGTATAAATGTATATTTCATAATAAGGTAAAAGGCAATATCAATGACTTGTTTACATTAATATAAATTAAATGTAGAGAATTTCTTATTTTTAACAATAAATGGATAGGCCTGGGGCCTGCCTGGCATACTGTACAGTCTGCCATAGAAAATTGTGAATACTTCAGTACTTATTGTGACACAAAACAATGAGAAATAATTTATATTTTTATAAACTTGTTCATTACACTCATCCTGTTATAATTAATTACAAAAACTACCTATCAAAGTGGTTTAATCCTACAAAATCTAATCTTTCATTTGGCCCTCAGTGTTCATATAGTCTAGATTAAAGATTAGGCTCAGTTTTAATCTGCAAAAAACGGCTTGTTTTTACCGTTCTTGAGCAATCTGTCATAATAACTTGTGTCACATAACTCCTCCGGATTCAAACCCAAGCCACCGCGTTGCGAGCGCTGCGACTTAACCACTAGACTACTGCAACATTCAATACAGAAGTTTCCCCAGGAAGGATATTTATCTGTTGATGAAGATTTATTTATTCTTATTTCTCTCTCTCCAGAACGTGTAGGAAAGCCATGGTCTGCATCTGAGGTGAAGGCTGTGGAGATGACCATGATGTCTTTCATACAGACTGGAAAAGTCCCTGGGAAGTCTCACTGCCTGGCCTGCATTAACGCCTCACCAGATGACCTTAGACATCGGACATGGAGTGGCATTAAATTCTTCGTCAAAAATAGAATCACTGCAATTCGGAAAATAAAATCTATATTAGAATGTCCTAATCCTAATCCTGTGTCTGTTTTGTATTGATTTAGTATTGGAATGTTTTGAAATGTTTTGCATTACTTAAAGTAGTCCCAGTAAAAAGATCAGTGCAGGGTATTTCTAAAGGGACCCCAGTATTGGCAAAAATACAGCAAGATTTTAGGAGTTCTGAGGGTCCCATATGGAATGGAACGGCCCTGTCTTAGGGACTCACAGGTAACAAAAATGTGTAGGTGTGTGTAAGTGCTGTCATGTGTGCGTGAACAGACCAGTGAGATCGGCGAATACCTGCATGTTGCTATACAGCTCTAGCAGTATCACATTGGTAATGCTTGTACTCCTGGACACAGAGAACAGAACTGGTTGCTAAGTATAGGGCCGCTGAGATGGGGGAATCTAATACAGCACTCAGTACTAATTAATGTATGGATTTGTGTCAAAAACTTAAATTTAGTTTGTATTTTGATAATTGATTGATTATTTATTTGATTAAGCAAATTAGCTGTTGACTAAACATCTAAAAAAACATCTGTGAAATGGGTTATTCATTTGATCAAACAAGTAATCAGTAGTAAAAACCTTCTGCAGTGAATATAGAAATATCCGAGCCATAAAACGTATTATTAGCATGTTCAAGTCTATGCAAACTATGGATCCTATCAAAGAAGTCCCTGACTTGCAAGTCATGTGCAAGTGAATGGCTGAATTAACTGATTAATTTTGCAACCTACACTGAAGGTGAAGAGGAAAAGAGGTTAAAGATAATAATATATTGCAGGATGTTGTGTAGTTGCAGATGGGCAGACCCCAGGGAGGCGATGGGGGTCCGGGCTCCGTGGATTTGGGCTGAAGTTGGGGATGTATTGTCAGAGCAGCAGGCTAGGGATGGTGGTGTGTGGATTATAGTCTCTGATTAAATTCAACTTCAGCGCTTTTCTCCTTCTATTTCTCCTGTCGAGAGCAGAGTATTCCCTACCGGCCTGGGATGTGTGCTTGGACAAACAGCAGCATGCACACTGCTCCTCGGAGACAGGAACATCTTTTGAAATATGTGTATATGCCGTATTTCAGCTGTATACACAGACACATTAAAAATGATTCCCAAAAACATGATAGTAATTGGGTTGACACTATGGCCATGTTCAAACTTATTTGTTGTCTGCTTCCTTTTAAAGGAGACACATTCTGCTAAATTGACTTTTTTGAGCTTTTCACCATGTTACAACATTGTCCCCTGCTCAAAAACATACCTGGAGTTGATTTTAAGATCCATGCACGCAAATATGTAACTCCGCCCCTTCGGATTTCTCAGTCCTGTAATAGTATGATGTAATTGTATAACTATGACATCACACTCAGAGCAGTTTCCAGTGCCCACAGATTTGTTTGGGTAACCTTTGAGGTGAAAGTACGTTATTTACAATTGCATGGTTGTGTTTGCAGCTGGTAACTCTCAAAATGGAGGACAAAAAATGCATTATATTTTTCACCTTGATACTCGTTTCACCATATATGTTCTACTATATAGATTCATGTCCTAGGGAATTGCTTGTCTGTCAGGGGGCCTCGACGCTACTTCCAGGCTTGTTCGCCACAAACGAATATGCCTCCGAACCTCCCGATGACCACCCATACTCTGTGAAGCACTGTTCCCACCGCTGACATTGTGGAAAGGGTCCACAGTTTGTGTTGGTTTGGGACAACACACACACGCTGCTCTGGGGCCGAACTTGCGTCACATGATATCTGCACGGATTCAACGTGTCATACTCAAATACTTTCAAAAGAAGCATCAAGTGTTTCTTTCGGGGCTGTAGTATGACATTTCTGTCAACTAGTGACAGGGAGTTTGAAGGAATTTTGACACCCTGTTTAACACAATCTTAACACAATGTAAAACAGTAATGTTTAAATTGACCGTCAACTTATGTAAATTGCGGCACCTAGAGGGTTAATAGTCACTTTTTGATTTTCAAACAGGACTGAGTAGAGTGTGTGTTTTCTCTTCTAGTCGTGTAACATTAATTTTCTCATAGTTTCCCTTTAAAACCTAGCCTACATTTGTCATCATATGTATCCCTATTAGTAAAAGGAGACAGATCCAGTTCATTATCCTCCTTCATCATCAATGCACAAACACGTTTTTTTCAGAGCAATTAAACCAATAAGACTGCACTTGTCATGAGCCTGTTCTCCGGTTGTAATTGTTGTGGTGATGGAGGGAGTGCGCAGAGGCAAGCTGCTACCAAGGATTCTAATGAAAAGATCTGACAGCACATTCAGTCGGGGCCACGCGCTACTGTCCAAATCACCAGCAAAGTGCGTTTAGCCTGTGATTTGCATGAAACTACCTCTTTATGCGTCGAATACTGATGAGAACTGGTTGAAATAATCTGTCAGGCTTGTTTTGTCTCGCAGTTAACAACTTCACTTTGTGAAAATTCAGCTGTAAAGCCTATAAGCAGTAGGAAATGAAAAAGTACACATTATTTATTGAAAATTAAAAATTGTTATGAGACTGTATACCAACGTTACCATTGATAATAAACCTTTACAATTGTTTATTTATATTCTCTGCTACTATAGTG